TAATGATTTAGCTTTTATTACAAATTCAGAATCTTTAAGTCTCAGTTCCTCACTAATTATCTCAATATCCCGTACTGGTTCTACATTTCCTTCATAGTGGGTTATTTCATTATTTTCAAAACACCTACAAACTAAAAAGATTCCATCAACATTTCTTATATTATTTAGAAACTGATTTCCCAATCCTGCACCTTCTGATGATCCTTTAACTAATCCTGCAATATCAACTATTTCTAATGTTGCATTTTTAACTGATTTAGGTTTATAAACTGAAGCTAGAAAATCGATTCGAGGATATTTTATTGGAACATGTCCTTTATGTGGTTCTACTGTACAGAATGGAAAATTTTCTGCTTTAACTGTCAATTTTGTTAGTGCGTTAAACAGAGTTGATTTTCCTACATTAGGAAGTCCAACTAGTCCCATTCTTAATCCTACTGATTTATTAGGACGACTAAATCTAGTTATTAACTTAAATGGATTCTTTACTTTTTCTATCATCTTACTTATTTAATTGGGTAAATTTTTTTAAAAGTTTAAAGTTTTGTTGGTTAAAAGAAACAAATTATATATTTTAATTTTTACATGAAAAAGATTAACACAACCAATAAATGTATAAATATGAAATTAATTAAAGTACCTAAGTATTTAGGAGATTTATTCATAAATATGAGAAACGATACTAATATCGGTACATTAAATACTGACAGTTCTCAACAATTAGCTATTAAGTTGAATAATTCACTTAAAGGATCTGTTCCTATGGATCATAGAGTTATTAGAAAACATAAAGATAACACAGTTGTTGTTAACACTGAATTAGACATTGTAGGTACTATTGATGGTGAAATCCAAATACTCCCTGTCATAAATAAAGAATATCTTGATTTTAAGAAAAAAATTCAATCAGCAGAAACAGACACAAATCAAGCTAGATTGGTCAACTATTTTGAAGAAATTAAGAAGGGAGACAGTTACGCCCGTATCAAACAACAAGAACTGGACAACAAAGAAAGAAGAAAACTTATGTATGAAAAGAGGAGAGAAAGACTTGAAAGGTCTGATGTGTTAAACTTAATTTTCAAAGCGTATGAAAAAAATTCCTTCTGGACTGTTAAAGATTTAGCTAATTTTACAGGTCAACCAGTTGCTTATATTCAAGAACTCATAACTGAAGTAGCTGATTTAAACAAAAATGATCATAAAATTACTTACGGACTTAAACCTGAATATCAATAAAATCAGTTAATACAATTTAATATTCCATTTTCTATTAAAGATTCTTTTGAACAATCAGGACAGTATAACGAACCTTTTATTACATCACAACCAAAGAGAAATTCATAAATCTTGTCTTTATTACCTTCATAAATATCACCTTCTGTTAATTCAATAGATCTATTTTCACTTTGAACATCTAATAAAAAGTCTAAACACTCAGGAGTTTCAATTTTCTCACTCATAAACTCAAAGTTAGATCTTTCGTAATTTTCAACTTTAATGTATTCATCTAGAGTTAGTTTATGTAACTTTTCTGAATTACACTGTCTACATTTAATAAAATTTACTACTACTGGTCTCATTTAAATAAGCAAAATTTGTTTGTTAAAAGAAACAAATAGTTTTAACTAACAAATTAATTTTTGCATTAAAACATATAATTTAATGAAGTGTTCTCCTTTATAAGATTACATAAAGATGTTTAAGAGAAGCAAGAAAATTGAAGCAAATATGCAACACACAGCACATAAAGTAGACGACAAATGTTTACTAGATCAAAAAAGTTTATATTTGGACTATAAAGTTGTAATAGAACATTTTAACAATCACGGTGTTCTAACCGAAATACAAGTAGCTAAAATTATAAGAGATGCACATAAAATATTACTATATGAACCAAATGTTATTTCTATAAATAACGGTTCATATATAGCTGGAGAATTGAAAGGTAATTATACCGAGTTTATAACTTTTATTGAGAAATTTAATTTGAATAAGCTGTCTAATTCAACTACAGATCTTAATAAAGCAACCAACTACTTGTTGGCCAATACTATCATATTTACAGGTAATTACATTAACGAGGGTTATTTCTCAACTGAAATATTATTAACTTTACTTCTTTTGAAATGTCATTTTCCAAAGAATATTATACTATTGAGAGGTGCAGAAGAATCTTATTGTAAGTATCTTAGAGGTAATTTTAAAACCGAATGTCTAAAAAAATATAACATGTCATTGTTCAACTTATTTATTGAATTATTTTACTCATTACCTATCTGTGCAATAATTCAAAATGAAGCATTTGTATCACACGCAGGAGTTCCTAATGTAGAATATTCATTAAAACAAATTAAATCATATAATAGATTTAAACAAAGACCACTAAAAGAAATGTCACATGCTTTTGTTAGAATGGGATTTGAAGAAACTAAACCTTTTTTAAAGAAACTCAATCTAGTATGTTCAATTAAATGTTATAATAGTAGGAGTGGCAAAATAAAACAAATTAATGAGAATATTAAAGAGTATGATACAGTTGAATTAAGTTCATTACAAACTAATTTTATTTACTATGATCATTTAAAGATAACCAAAATAAAGATAGATCAAAAAGAAGATCCTTATGTTTTACCGGAATATCGTTCAATATTTTATTATTCACTTCCTTTTATAAAATCAAATGTAAAACAGTTTTTAGAAGAAACCAATCATTTAAAAGATTTACAAATACTTAATAGAAGTAAAAGTTCATTTAACCTTAACATTGATTCCAAATTACCAAATAAAAACAATAAAGATAATATACTTCATATGCCAATAACAACAAAATCAAGAGAAAAAAGAAGTATTTCAAAATTAGGATTGATAGAAGCTAAATCAGAATTTTTACAATCATTGAATGAAATGTCATTAGGTGATTATTGTCCAATAGTTGATAGTGAAGGTATAAAAATAGTAGATGAAAACTATTTATTATTTACAGAGAAAGTAAAAGAAAGATTAAAGAAGAAAGGAATTAAAGAAGCAACAAGTAAAAGAAAAAGATTTTTTATTTTTTGAATAAAAAAAACATTTCAATCACAAATTTAATTAAATCTTCTTAGGTTTAAAGGTCTTCTCAACAACGCCTTTATCTTTGTAATATCTCAGCAATCTATGGAGTCTAGAATTAGTAAGACCAAGTCTGTACTTAGCATCTTTATCATTTTTATTAAGTCTTAAGTGGGCTCTAATTCTATTAGAATGATTAATTAAGCTTTCTAAGTCTTCAGGAATTGAAGCTACAATACCGTTTTTTCTGAGAAACTCATTAATACCACAACCTAATACAACCTCAACTTTTCCAATACCATGTTTATCTCTAAGCATATGACCGATAACTGATGCTGGTATATTTTTCTTAGCAGCTGCAATAATAACTTGTTCTATTTCACCAAAAGTCTTTTCAAGATAAATTGGTTCTTGTAATGTAAATGGTTTCATTGAGCATGATTGTCCTTTTCCGGATGAATGCATTCTTGCCATCTTAAATAAGGGTGTAAAAATTTTAAAAAAATTTTTACCCATAAAACTATGTATAGAAGAAACCAACAAAATTATTCAAGAAATTTTGAAATGAAACCAATAATAAATAATAACCCACCAATAGATAACTTTAAGAAGGATTTCTATGTAGATGAAAATGCTATAAGTATAGAAGAAGCAGAAGAGTTAAGAAGTAAGTGGAAGATGCAATTAAAAGGGGAAAACATTCCATTACCGGTAAGTAAATTTGAACAAGTAACTAGTAATAAAGAAGTGTTAGAATCATTTAAACGTAAAGGATTTGGAGAACCAACACCAATTCAATCACAAGGTTGGCCATTAGCTCTAAAGGGAAAAGATATGGTTGGTATTGCCGCAACAGGATCTGGTAAGACATTATCATATTTGTTACCAGCTTTAATACATGCCAAAGATCAAGTGAGTTTAAGAGAAGGAGATGGACCAATAGTGCTTATTTTAGCACCAACTAGAGAATTAGCATTACAAATTGATGAAGTTGCCTATGAATATGGAAGAATGTTTGATATGTCATCATTAGCCGTTTATGGAGGTGTATCATATAACGAACAATATAAGAAGTTAAGAAGGGGTGTTGAAATATTAGTAGCAACACCAGGAAGATTATTTGATTTATGTGATCGTAATTTCTGTGATCTTAGTAGAGTTACTTTTATGGTAATAGATGAGGCAGATAGAATGTTAGATATGGGATTTAAACCACAACTTGATAAGATAGTTCCAAGAACTAATAAAAATAGACAAACACTCATGTGGAGTGCAACATGGCCTAAAGAAGTAAGAAATTTAGCAAACTCATACATGGGCACTAATGATTATTGTCAGATATTTATTGGATCAACAGAACTTACAGTAAAAGCAAATGTTAAACAAATAGTTGAAGTTGTTAGTGTTCATGATAAGATAAAAAAGTTACAGTTAGTTCTTTCTTCACAGCAAGATGAGATAGGTGGAAGAGTGATTATTTTCTGTAATCAGAAGTCGAGATGTAATAATATGGAGTATATGTTACAAGATAAAGGTATAAAAGCAGCTGCAATTCACGGTGATAAAACACAGAGTGCTAGAACAGCTATTATTAATAACTTTAAAGATGGTAGGGTGCCTATACTTATTGCTACAGATGTAGCTGCAAGAGGACTTGATATTGAAGATGTTAAAATGGTAATTAATTATGACTTACCAGTGAATGTAGAAGATTATGTTCATAGAGTTGGTAGAACAGCTCGTGGTAATGTAAAAGAAGGAATGTCATTTAGTTTTTTTTCACCTGAAGAGGATGGTGGTAATGCTAGAAAGTATATTGAATTGTTTGAGAAAGGTAAAGTTGACATTCCAAGAGAAATTTATGATATCGCTGATAGAAGTGCTCCAAGAAGACAAACAAGATATTCATCATTTTCAAGAGGAAATAATTCATTTAACAATTCTTATAGAAGAAATAATTCATTTAACAATTCTTATAGAAGAAA